CTTCTGAGGATGGAAAACAGCCTTGTCCAACAGAGCTTTGTTCCGTGCCATCCAAATATGATAAACAACAGCAGTGAGGGCAGTGAGCACCACTTTCCTTTGAACAGGATCCTTCTTTGCTTTGTACCAGGCTTTCCAAGAGCAGTCAATATCAAAATAAGTCTCAATTATATGCCAAGCCATCTACTGATAGTACGTATGCAAGCTTTACTGAATTGGCAGCCAAAAAACAAGCGCTTGCTATCCTCAAGAACTACAAACCCCAAACCTCAATAGCTTATCTCGAGTTTTAAGCCTCCCCAACACAACAATCCAAGCAATAAAACTATGTCTTGGAACATTGTACCTGTTCCAAACCCACCTATCCCAACCAACTTTATCATACGTTCCTTGCAACCAGGAGTAGCCATCATTTATACTATAAGAAGACTCACTCCATTTTTTAGCATCGAACCCTGCTTTCAGAGTATCCCTCACCTTGCAAAGCTTTTTCCAAGCCCAACCATCCCCTTTTTTTAGGAAGATAAGACCACCAGTCATTGCCTTTTAAGTAGACACTATGAATCCATTTGATCCATAAAGAGGACTTATTAGCAGCTAACTGCTAGACAAACTTACCCAGAGCTGCCACATTCCATTTATCACAGTCCCTAATACCCAGCCCACCTGCCTTCTTCGGTTTACAAATCCAACTCCAGGCAACAGGAGGGGTTTTAGACAGCACATCATTCCCACTCCAGAGGAAAGCTCTACACAGCTGCACTATCCTCATAATCACAGCCTTAGGGAGCAGCAAGCACTGAGCCAGTAGGTGTGAAGGCTTAACAACACAGAATTAATAAGCACAACCTTGGCATAGTAAGACAAATTTCTGCTAGACCAGCACATGACCCTAGCCAGCATCTTATCAATAAGCTTATCATACTCAGCAACCTTAAGATACTTAGCATTTAAGGGGATGCCAAGATATCTAAAAGGATAGTCACCAATCACAAACCCTGAAACACTCAAGATTTCTTCTCTCACCTGGTCACACACTTTACCAAAATAAATGGTCGTCTTCTCAAGATTAGCTTGTAATCCTACACACTCTCAAATTTCCTCGGAGCTTTAATTAAGTAGGACACAGAAGTGGTGTCACCATGAGAAAACAACATAAGATCATCAGCGAAGATCAAATGATTCAAATTCAAAGAAGCACACCTTGAATGAAACTTGAACTTTCGAAGTTTTCCCACTTTCTTCAATAATCTAGTGAGGTACTCCATAGCCACCACAAAAAGGAGAGGGGAAAGGGGACCCCCTTGTCTAAGCCCCATTTTACCTTTAAAAAAACCATTCATACCACCATTAATCATAACAGAAAAAGAGGGAGAGGAAATGCACTCCATAATCCAAGAGACAAACATAACAGGGAAACCCAAACTAGTCAACATATCCCTAACAAACCCCCAATGGACTGAATCATAAGCTTTCCTCAAGTCCACTTTGATTGTGCATCTAGGAGCTTTCCTCTTATTATTATAGTCTTTAAGCATGTCCCGGCAAATGAGAACATTCTCAAGGACAGATCTCCCAGCTACAAAGGCACCCTGGGACTCATTAATCAACCCTGGCAGAACCTCCTTCATTCTAGAGCAAAGCATCTTAGATATGACTTTATAGATAACATTGCAACAAGCAATAGGACGAAATTGGCTAACCCTCTCAGCATTATCAACTTTAGGAATCATAGTAAGGGTAGTAGCATTTACCTGCTTTAACAACTTCCCACTCCAAAAAAAATCAAGAATAGCATAACAAACATCACCCTTCTCCACTTCCCAGGCTGACTTGAAAAATTTACTAGAATAGCCATCAGGCCCTGGGGCCTTATCATCCTCAATATCCCAAATAGCCAGTCTAACATCATCCTCAGTAAACCCTCTACACAGAAGGGTACCCTGTTCAGAGGTCAAAACTGCACCCTCACTAATGACAGCAGGATGCATAGTAGATGTGGCTACAGAATGAGAGCCCAACAATTGGACATAAAAGTCCACAAAAGAATCAGCAATGGCTTGAGGATCCTGCACAACATTACTAGAATTATTCCTGATAGAGCAAATTCTATTCTGCAACCTCCTCTTCCTCACAAAAGCATGGAAAAAAGAAGTATTCATGTCACCCTCTCGAAGCCAATGCAATTTAGCTTTCTGCTTTAGGAACTTGAAATTAGCTTTATGAGCATCACTAAACCTTATTCTCAGTCTTTTCTCCTCCTCAATCAGACCCACATTACCAGGATCCTTATTCAATCTCTGCTGAACATCATCAAGGTCTCTGACAGCTTTAAAATCAGCAGGCTCGACATCCGAGAAGCTATTGATATTAAACTCTTTCAGTTTCTGCTTCATTAATTTGAGCTTAGCTGACACAAGCTTAAACATAGCAGTACCAACCACTTGAGCATCTCAGGCACCCCTCACTAAATCCCGAAAACCTGTAGCATCAGTCCACATATTAAAAAACCGAAAAGGTTTTCTAACTTTATCAGCCTCACCAAACCTCTCAAAAATACATGGACAATGGTCCATAAGACCTTCTGGTAGAAAAGTAGCTTTAGAGTGCTGAAACATATCCACCCAGTTATCATTGACAAGAACCTTGTCAATTTTAGAACTAACTCTGCTGTCACCTTGCTGTTTCTTATTCCATGTATAAAAACACCTACCATCTTTAACATCCATCAAACCACAGTGCCTCAAACAAGATCTAAAGCTCTCAACTTCCTCCAGCCTTACCAAAGACCCCACTCTATCCTCAAGATTGAGGACATTATTGAAATCACCTCCAATTACCCAAGGGCCATGAACCCTATTGCCCATCTCACTGATCTGCTGCCAAAGCACTTCTCTCTCAGCAGCAGTATGAAGACCATAGACCATAGTGAGGTCAAACATACGACTTGAGGCTGTATGAGTAACCTTTACATGAATCAGCTGCACCTCAACTCTCACAACATCCGCCTGGAAAACATTAGGAATCCAAACAATCCAGATTCTATCCTTCTCACTCTGCTTGTAATTACAACACACAGCCTAATCACTCCCAAAGATATCAAAAACTCGACCAAACTTCTTCCCCCTCACCTTCGTTTTTGAAGACCAAAAAGTGCAATATTATAATGCCTCAAAAACCATAAGACATCACATATTTTCCCTGGACTATTAAGCCCTCTAACATTCCAAAATACCCAATTATCCATGGATATTATAGGACCACTCACCCTCCTCCAACCCACCAAACAAGACCCTACCCTCCTTCACCATAATCCGCTTTCTGTTATGAACAGTCATGTCCTGTCCATCCTCCAAATCATCAAGGTTCTGAAATCTATTACTGACCTCAACCCCCATCCCTACTTCATTAAGGTTTTGGAACCTTTTACTGACATTGATCCCCTCCCCTACTTCTGCAGGAGTCTCAGTCTGATCTTTCACCACAGGTCTCCACACCTTCCTCTGAGTAGGCTGCTGAATTCTTGTGGCTTTCTGCTGAAATCTAGCCTTCACTTTGTGATTTGGGCAATGAACACCCTCATGGCCTATACCTCCATACACAGCGTATAACCGGCTTCCATTCGTACTGAACCTGCTGATGAACCACCTCCCCAGCTTCATCATAGAACATGATCTCATCCGGAAGTTGGCCATTCACCACAACCTCAATCAAAACTCTAGCATAATCAATGAGTTCCCTGTTTGCAGTAGCTTTATCAGTCTTAATAGGTTTACCAATCAACCCACCAATCTTCATTAAGGCAGATTTCCCCCAAAATTTTAGGTCAAGATCAGGAAATCTAACCCAAATAGGAACAGATTTAACCTCCTCCTCCTTGAGCTTCATGCCATGGCACCACTTCTTCACTATCCTTATCTCTTCCATCAGCACTTCTGAACCTAACCAGGAAGATACCATTAGACCTAGCAGCCACCTTGTCAACACCATATCTCCCTACACACGCCTAAAAAATCCATTCATGGCAGGCAAGGCAGGTCTGGCACTAAGCACATAGCACACAATTGCAGTATCCCAGAAATCAACTTCTGGCTTTACATCATCCACACCAAGACGCAATACTCCACCATCCTCACCATTGATATGGACATTCATACCATTATTAGTCAAATTCAAACCCTCATCCAGGTAATTACCAAACAATACACTCCAGCTACCCCTCCCCGATTCATTCAGATTATGACCATTCTCAGCTGACCCAATAGGGGTTAAATTTCTCATACGATCAGCATGCAATCCAGACTCATTATCAGGATGAACATTAATCAGGCTACTATCTTTAATCATAAACAATGGAGTAGGATTAGCAATCCCAGAACCAATCCCCTCATTACTGATTGCAACTGCACTATCCAAGATATGACGATTCTGCGAAGGGGTTTCCCGATTCAATACCTGTAACCACTGATTGAATTGAGCTTTGTTCATCTCCTTCTCCTCCAGAGATTCCTGAAGACCCAGAGGTTCCTCAACCGCAGCATCCATCAACCAGCTAGCTGACGAGTCAGCAACAGAATCACCATCACCATGCTTCCCCCTCAATCTAGCCTCCTGTTGATCTTTCTTCTTACCTTTAGGTTTAGAGCCAGATTTAGATTTAGAGCCAGATTTTGAATTAGATTTCTTCTTCGCCTTCCCTTTTCTGCCTTTGGCCATGGCCAAACAAGCAAAATCGCAGCACAAAAATGGCGGCAAGAAAGAAGCACTTTCTCTCTCTAGCACTTTCTCTCTCTAGCATTCAATTAGCATTACTTTCATTTTAAACCATAGTTGTGAATCACTGGTGGTTGTATCCTCTTCGAGTTTATTATAATTGTGAGCATAGTCATAGGGCTCCAGAACTCCAGAAGGCCACAGAAATGAATCAAATCATAGTCATAGTCATAAGGTTCATTCAAAATTTCATAGTTGCTGGAAAAAAAAAAATGATATAATGTAAATGACCTGTGTAATAACTGAGAGATATGATTATACTTGATGAAATTCAAGCTCCAAACAAAAACAAATTAAGAAATGATACAAGCTCCACTAAAATAGCCAAAAACAAATGAGGCAATTGCTACGCTTTCAATTGTAATATACCAGAGCTTGATGCTACAAAATCTCAGTAGGAAAACAATGATTCCAAGAAATTTCAATCTGCTTCATGAAGCCGACAGGCTTGATAAAACAATTGCTTCTTAACATTATAGAACAAAGTAAATCATAAAACTCATAAACCGGTCGTTACTAGATTACATGAATACTCCCTTCGTTCCAGTCCAAATTCACCCTTCTGGACATTGCTGCTTCCGCAACCAGGCTTCCAGTCAGAAAATTAGAAGAATGACCATTCCCAACTTTTTAACTGCAATTTAAAAAACCAAGTTATAATACTCTTATTGAAAAAAACTTGGTTTGTGAAAAGTTGAAAGCGCAAATTAACATCAATATGCCAACCACCAAGTACATGCAAATAAAGAGTGAAATTAATGATGTGATTCATATGACTATGAGTACAAAATTTCCAAGCAGGAGTAAAATATACCCAGAAATCAAATGTAAAATGCAGCTGGATTTTGTCAATGCATCGAATGAACAATGTTGTCAATGCATCTAGATTTTGTCAATGCATTGAATGAGCAATGCTGGCAATGCATCTAGATTTTACTCAGGGTATATACACAATCACTATCTAGATAAACCGACATAAGATATATGTTAGACGTCTTGCTCCCAGTAACAAAAAAATCTCATTCTGCAGTGTACTTGAAACCATTTTTTGAACAATTTCTTGCTCCCAAGTGATTGAAAACACATTTTCACTTAAATTAAAAGAAAGCAAATATGCTAATAAACAATGTTTAAAAGATGGAAGTTTAAAACGCATAAACCAAATGAGACATCACAAAAGAGTAGGATTAGATGCTCAGTGCAGAGGCTCATAAAAATGGCAAGCTAGCTGAGTTATCTCCATAAATTGTTTAACATAATTGGAAAGGCGTATTTCTTCCAGACAGCTTGACTAATTAGCATGCAGTCTCAATTTTGATGTGACCAGCGTATCATTTGACCAGAAGCTAACAAATCTATTAGGAAACACAGGTAGGACAGTAATGACGCCATCATTGCCTTATGGAAGCTTAAGGAAGAGGCCTAAAGTGGCCCACTAGAATGTCTCATATGTTTTCCTAGGTCCCTAATCATCATAACTTCATAAGCAAATCAACAACAGAAAGCTTCCACCACATTAGATTTCTAATTCCCGGCTAATGAAATAGTGAGAGGGATCTAATATGGTTCTATTGTCGAGGATCAGGCAAGAATGGAGCCACTATGCAGGATAATGCAACTATTTGATGAATAGTGGATACAAATTTCAACCATCAAGAGATAGAATTTAGATGGCTAGGGGGGTTACAACGTACAACAAATCCACTTTGAGTAGTCATCAATGAACTCACAAGCTCCAATATTCACATTTCTTGGTCTACAAAACACAGAAACTTCCCAAATAAAAAAATTAAAAATATTTAGTCTAGGATGAACTCTTTAATATGGCATACTAACATGGCCTTGACCCAACATGAAGTTACTAAGAGGAACTACATCAGCACACAAACACGTTATTGACATGAACAATACCATAGTGTTGTGGCCTAACATGTGAGAGATGCAATTTGTTGTGTCAGGCTGAGTAATATGTTAGCTTCTCCAGCTAGCATTTAGCTTTTCAGAGTTTAACTACCATCTTAAATACAAAGTACCTTTTCAACATTTATCAAACAAAGCAAGATAAGAAAAAAGAAAAATAATCAAACTTCATAGTGTAGACTATGGAGAGCTTTAAAATATATGGGAGACAGAAATATTCATTCCTTCTCTTGATTTATGTTGGCTACTTTTTACTCTCTCCACCTTAAGTTTGCTCCACTCTTCGCTTTGGGTTGTCCTTCAAGTTCGCTCCATACCATAAATACTTAGGCCTTAATGGAAAATAGCAAAACATGTCCAGAATCCTGAATTTACCCCCAACATGTATATGCATGAGATCAACCTTAAAGTACTCACTGATACTTGCCTTTTATGGTAAAATCAATATCTTAGAGCGCCAGGAAAAAGGTTCTGAATCACATTCTTCATTTTTCACTTTCTTTAAGTAACAGTCCAGAGCATATGTCTGGTCATCTACAATTTCTGTGGAATTTGCATATTCAGCCAACTTGACTGCAGCCACCTGAGAAAACTGAAATGTTTCGCCAATGTGCTGCAGCTTCCGAGCAGTTTCTTCCATGCCAAGCATCAAAAGGGTGGACAACAATGATTTCAGCTCACGCCTGGCACCTATGGTCATAGCCATACCCTTAAGATGATCAACCAGAGCCAGTTCCTCGCCAGGGCTACATCATAAAGGTTTTCAGGTAACAAAATTGTCGGTAATGAAAAAACAGTAAGATAAAGGGAGCTAAATCAGATAGCCAGGGTGTTATCATTATCGAGAGAGTCAAAGAGCACGAAAACCTAAGATATAAAAATAGAATACCTGCCAGCACGAATCTTTCCTTTATTTTTCTTACGCTTGTTTTCTCTTGCCCTGCTGGAAGTCCTAGAAGTGATTGAAGCAGTAGAAACCTTACTCGTCCTGCCAATGTTGAACATCATAAGAAAACTACACTGAATAAAATTAAAGCAGAGGGATGCTAATAGAAAAAAGCAACTAGAATAAATTGTAAGAAAGTGACAAACAACAAGATAGCCCAAGAAAGATGGACATGGCCACATATGATGCATCAACATAGGAATTAAGTATTTAATTTATGAAAGAATTAGAGCTCATGTTCATTCACATTGTATCACCAAACAAGCAAAATGAGAGACTTCAAGCCTAGTGTTCAAAATAAATGTAATGTTTTATTTATTTCAGAAAACCCCTTGTCATTCAATTTCTGGAGAAAGCACCACTTCATTGTATTTTGATCAATAACTGACCAAGCTCTAAGGCAAGGGGGCAATACTAGAGTTATATAGAAAGAGTAACTTACAATTATCCCAAGTTCATTTTTAGTACTGACGATTGAAATTTTCATTCCACCTCCTAAAGTTCAGTAAAACTCTAATTTTGTCTCCTACACTTTAACTGACAAGCAATGAATGCAAGTTTCAAAAAATTTCTAGGGTATATATTCGCAATATCAGGGCATCGAGATGGAAACATGCCAAAGAGGAAGGTATCAGAATGAAAAAAAGTCTACAATATCAAAAACACATATAAGCATTCAAACTTACAACTAATCAGGGGTCACACAGGACATTTCATAATGATAAGGACAAACCAACTGATCCACGTCAGCATGCTGTAATTCCTGAAACAGGAGTAACTCATAACAAGTACTCCGTAATAGCTCAAGTTTGACAAGGGCCATGGCTAAATTTCCCCTCTATAGCTTCACCCCCATAACGCAATAGAGGTCCTAGAGTTAAAGGCACAAATACGCCAGCAAAGTGAGGCATACATTTCCACAAATAAAAGTATGGCAATTCATATAAAGAAATACATCAGTCATTTTTTAGTTAACGTTTTTGACACTATTCACAAACGCTACTTTGAATAGCTTTTATGATTTATAGTATGATATAACATAGTCATGTAGGAACTTGTTAGAATCGTCTCAACGCATATTTTCATAATTCAACTTTTTACTACCTCCGCCCATGAATATCTGCAACATTTGCCAAATTTGGATGCTTGAAGTATCCGCAACAAATTGTTTTTTTTCCTTTTTGGGTAATATTTAACTATTAATTACCCACTTTTTGGTTATTGGTCCCCTCCATCACCTATTACCCACTACCTAAAACCCACTACAAATATTTGTGTTCACACTACAAATACCAAATATACCCTTATTATTCAACACTTAAATGTTTAGTTTATATATATCATCATATGGGTAATTTTGTATTTTTACCTTTCTCTCTCATTAATTAAACCCACCAAAACTCAATTAACACTCCCCTAAAAGTTTTACCTAGGAGTCCGTCCAATTGTCCTTTGTTGCAGATATTCATGGCGGAGGTAGTATTATTTTTACTTATTGATAATTAGATATATTAATTATTGAATTTGTGTGTTGGCAAATATGATAAAAGAAATGTGTCAACTAAAAAAGAATGGAGGAAGTATATATCAAGAATTATGCACTACTAGCTTTATGACAATAAAGTATAAAAGGCCTTTCAGCGTAGATTTTTTGTTTTAGCTTCAATAGTTTCCAATGATCCAATCTAAATACAAAATTAACCTACCCACAAAATAGCTTCCATAGTATAGATGATGAACATGCGACTTGTTTCGGGGTTTTCTGATGTCCTGCGGGAGAGTTACAATTCCGAGACTGGAACCGAACGCCTGTACCTGCAAAACAAACGGAGACTCCTTGTGGTGGGAGCTCCGCCTCCAACGATCAAGTTAGTACTTGTTTGAGGAGTAATTAATGCGGAAATTAAAGTGATTGGGTCTCTCTAGGTGAGAGTGTTTAATTGCTTTTTAGCGTGTTCAGCATGTAATCCCCCTTAATGAGGATTAAGGGAGGTATTTATAACCTCGGGAAACGTGCCAATCTAGGTTTAGGTTAACCTTGGGCTGATTGGGCTTCCCTCGGAAGTTGGGCCTAGGTGACCGGTTATCCCAGGTGTCATGGGAAGGACACGTGTCGTGTCGTAATTGGTCCATGGTGGACGGATCATTGCTTGACACGTGGCAGGCTCCTATTGGCCCATGTGACGGACACATGGCGGAACCTGATTGGTCCACTTGTCAGATGGTGATTGGTGGGGAAAAATCCCGTGACAGGTATCGCCCTGTAACAGGCGACGGCCTGCTACAGGTGTCAGTCGGCGAGAGGCCGAGAGATTCTCCCGCCAAAATTTTGAATTCTGGAAGTGACCCTTCGCCTTCTCACTTCGCCTATATAAAGGAGTGTTGACTTCGGTCATTTTCACACTTGAAAACTTTGTGAGAGAACATTCGGACCCCTGAACTTGCTCTGACATTTTGGACCCTTTCTGCCTACCGCCTGCTCTGATAAGCCGACTGCAAAGGATTTTCAGAACTTCATCAATCGTCACTCGTTCAGGTAACCGTCGGTTCTCTTACTCTTAATTTTCTCTTTACTTTATTCTTTTTTGAAATGGCACCAAGGAAGCACACGACACGACCTAGGTTAGTGATCAGCCGGTCACCGGGGACGGCTGAATCTAGGACTAGGAGTGTCGCCTGCCCTTTTCTGGACCCATCTTTGCCCTTTATACAAAGTCCGACTGTATCTGTGTCTATGCAGAGCATGATGGCCAGAACAAAAAAGACTGCCAGGATCTCAAACTCAGACGGCTCATCCCACAGGGTGCCGATTAGTGAAACATCTGACCAGGCGCCAGATGTGGAAGTGAAACAAAGCGGCTTGAAAGCCGGCTGTTCTGAGGGAGGAATCAAAGTGACCCCTTCCCATTTCACAGTTGACAATTCTTCATTCTCTCCTGCTCCTTTTAAAGGAGAGGAGGCGGGCCCCTCCGGGAGAGGGGAGGAGTCGTCCTCTTCGGACTCGTCAGAGGACGATTCCGAGTCTAGCTCTTCTGGCCATGCTTCCCTGGACACAGAAGAGAAAAACAGTCGCCTACAAGAGGCGAGGCTTTCTCACGCAGTTGAGAAGGGGGACGATTGGGCGGAGCCATCTGCCTCTCACCGAGAGCAAAATACCCCCTACTACTGCACGGTACCTCGGGGCCGGATCACGGCCATGCAAGAGAAAGTGGAGAGCTTTATCGCAAACCACACAATGGGCCCCGACTTTTTAGTGTTCGTGCCGGATCTAGAGGACACAGTCGTCTGGCCGGCTGGTACCAGTTATGATGGCGCCTGCTTTGGCTGCTACGAGGCGGCCATCAAGGCTGGGCTGCGTTTCCCACTACATCCGGCTGTTCAGCGGATCTTGGATGGGTATGTGTTGGGGTTATGGCAGTTAGCCCCGAACTCTTGGGTCAACGTACTCGGCTATGTGGCTGGGTGCGAACTGGACGGGGTGGAGCCGAACTTCGAGGCTTTCGCCCACATGAACTACCTCAGCCGGACCCCTAAGGCAGGCGGTACCGGCTGGTATCAATTGACGAGCCACAGGGGCTACCTCATGACGAGAGGTAAAGCAAACAAATGGAAGGACTGGCGGAGCACCTTCCTCATCATTGAGAGTTCAGACACAGAGCTGAACAAGCGCTTCAACAGGTGGAACAGGAATCCGCCCCTTCTTGCAGGCGGCCGCAGCATGCCGCCTGTCCCCCCAAGGCTAAGAAAGAGATCCTAGATAAAGGACTCTTCAAAGTAGAGTCGAAGGTGAACTCTACTTCAGGGGTACGAGAGCAAGTACCCCTGCACTGCGTCCCGAGCTTCAAATGGCTCTACGACGAGTACTTTTTGGCCGTCTGTGGCCTCAGCAGTCGGTGCTCAAGAGGTAGCCGGCCTGTCGAATACTCTGTTGTTCCGTGCATTTCTTGTTATGACTTTTATTAACTTTGCTATTTGTTTTTTGCAGCGGACGCCATGAGCAAAACTATCGCCTCCAAGACTGCGGCGGCCATGTTGCGGGCCTCCATCATGCAACAGTCTTCCACCGACTCCCCCAACAAGGGGGCACCCTTGGTGGGCTTCGAACCTTTCACCCTCTTTTTGGAGTTGTGTTTATGCATATACTGACTCTTTTCTTCTTTTTTAGACGGGCGCTCCAAGAGCTTCTTCTTCCCAACAGCCGGACCCCAAGGCCCGGAGGACGACTGTTGCGAGCTCTCCTGGTTCTGCCAGGAAACATGCGGCGGCTGAGAAACAGCCGGCCACTTCTTCTAAAACTCCAGCTGGGCCACTTAGAAGTATGAAATTATCCTTGTAAATTTTAGACTTGCTCCCTTCTTTACTAGGTCTAATCCGTTTGTTTATGCTTGATGCAGCCGGCCCTCAGGAGCCTGACTTGGTCGAGGTGGCCAAGTCTATGATCAAGGTCGTTCCTCCAGCTGAAAGGGAGGCGGTCAGGGGTGTCGGCACCCTTGACCTAGACGGGATTGCAGGGGTCCTTGCTGAGGTATACTTAGCATATTTTTGAGTATTTGAATTCCAGGACGCCTGTTTTCTTTTTGTTTGGAAACTGACGCATGTTCCCCCTTTTTACTTAGGCCCTGCTCCGAGTGAACGGCCTTCGCAAGCCGCTTGACCGGAAGAACAAAGAGGTAAAGGCTGCAAAAGCTATGGCCGCCTCTGACTGTGATAAGGCAATGTTTCAAATTGCCCAAAATGAAGTTCTGACCATTGATATTCTTTATTATCAGGCGCAGGCTACCGCCGCTATCCGGGCTCAGTTAGAGGCGGCCCAGAAGAGGAATAGCGAGCTGGAGGCGACCATCAACAGCCTCAAGGCCGAGCTGAGACCTCTTCGCCAAAAGATGTCCTCATACGAAACCTTGGAGAAATCCTTGGCGAGCGTAAAGGTACGCCTGGTGACCCAGGAGAAGAGTCTTACTCAGGAGCTCTAAGAAAAGGCCGAGCAAGAAAAGAAAGAGTTGGTCCGGGAGATGATGGAAGACTCTGCTCAAATCCAGCGC